GCCTGGAGGGGATCCCCATCCGGGGTGTTAAGCTTGTGAAGGGTGCAGAATCAGAGGGGTTCTGTGCGCACCTCCCTTGATCTATGATCAACAAAATGAGGCCCAATGACTCCTTCAAGGTCACAGAGCTGTTGCCAGGGGCACTAATGCCCCAGCCTGGTTCAGTGTCCCAGATACCAGAATGACGTAGTTGCCGTTTCCCCAGGGGCAGAGGGACAAAGAATCGACCTTGCAAGCCTGTCCTTGCTCTCCCAGCTGGAGAGGGCCACCTCAAGCCAGGACTACAACTGTCCCGGCCAGGCACACTTCATTTATTGACATGTAAGTTTAAATTGTCTTTATTTAAAAGCCAACATGCGCCCTAACTGGTTTGACTCAGTGGCTAGAGCGTTAGCCTGTGGACTCAAGGGTCCCAGGTTCAATTCTGGTCAAGGGCATGTATCTTGGTTGTGGGCACATCCCCAGTGGGGAGTGTGCGGGAGGCAGCTGATCGATGTTTCTAACTCTCTATCCCTCTCCCTTCCTCTCTGTAAAAAATCAATAAAAAATATTTTAAAAAAATAAAATAAATAAAAGCCAACATGCTGGGCCAGCCATTCCTTTTCTTGGAAAAGGTGAGAGCAAGGAGGATAATCAATACATAGTTAGGTCTAGGTCTAAACACAGAGCCAGGTAGGCCAAAGGTCTTTGCAGATTAAACAGATTTAATTGTGTATATTCCATTGTCCTACATAATAAAAGGCTAATATGCAAATGACCAAATGGTGGAATGACCAGTCATTACGATGTGCATTGACCACCAGGGGGCAGACACTCAACCCAGGAGCTGCCCCCTGGTGGTCAGTGTGCTCCCAGAGGGGGAGCGCCGCTCAGCCAGAAGCTGGGCTCACGGCTGGCGAGCACAGTGGCAGTGGTGGGAGCCTCTCCCGCTTCCGTGGCAACGCTAAGGATGTCTGACTGATGGCTTAGTGGGACATCCCCCCAGGGCTCCCGGACTGCGAGAGGGTGCAGGCCAGGCTGAGGGACTGATCTGAATTTCGTGCACTGGGCCTCTAGTCTTCATAATCAAATCCTTTCTTTGGTTACTGATAGTTACTGAGAAGCAACACAAATAGTGTCGGTTAGCCATTTAAACAAGTAAATCATGCTTAAGACAAGAAATTGTGTTTGTTTCCTTAAGTCATAAACTTTTTGTTTAGGAAATTGCATTTGTTTGCTAACATTGTGGAGTGAGCTCACTAGCTTTGAATTAATTGAACCCAGGATTCAGCACATTGTGCAGGTTCCCTGGTTCACTCTTGTCGGGCTTCTAAGGGTCCAGTAAATAAGTTGTCATTCTAGCACAGCCGTGGGCAAACTACGGCCTGCGGGTCGGATCCGGCCCGTTTGAAATGAATAAAACTAAAAAAAAAAAAAAAAAAGACCATACCCTTTTATGTAATGATGTTTACCTTGAATTTATATTAGTTCACACAAACACTCCATCCATGCTTTTGTTCAGGCCCTCCGGTCCAGTTTAAGAACCCACTGTGGCCCTCGAGTCAAAAAGTTTGCCCACCCCTGCTCTAGCAGGTTTAAAGCCAAACACACTGAAACATTCACTTTTCCCTAACAAAGACATAAACAGTTTCAGTTAAATTTGATTCCAATATTAGAAAAATCCGAAGGAAGGCTGCCAGGCTTTCCACATATTCGGAAGGTTACACTTCCCATCATATTGAGAAAGTTTGGGTGTAAATAAATTGTACAAAATAGATGCATGTTCAGCTTGTAAACTGGATCCTAGTTCACACTGTGACGGGGTTATGTGTTATCTAGAGAAGCAGCCTGGAGTAAACCAATGCGTGGTCCCTAATTCTGCTACCTTTCTCTTTCTAAGGTTTCTCACAGATGGATCGTAGCTTTTAATTGGGGTCTGCATCAATACTGCATTTCATTCTTTTCACCCTTTCCCTGTACAAACAGGCTCCAATAATGAGTAGCTACCACATAAATAAGAATGCCCCATTTCTTGGGGCGACATTTTACAGTTTACACAGTCCGTCTCATTTGATCACCAGCATATACTGCGTAGGGGGGTTCCCTCCCATTTTGCAGATGAAAAAACTGAGGCTGTGAAGATAACCAGCAAGTTAAGAGCTAATGCCAGGGCGCAAAGCCCGGTTTTCTACACCACATCGTGTGTCCTTCCAGCACACGTGAGGTCACGGTTGGGAAGTGGGCTGCTCCCCTCTGTGGCTGCATCTGCTGATGCGGTCAATGCACGATGTTGAAAAGCTTTGCATTTCGGACGGCATTTTTGTTAGGGCAGAGGCCTGTGCCTCCAGCAGCGTGACTTAGGAAGTCACATGTTAACTGTCTGATCTACGTTTCTCAGAAACATGCTCTTCTTGCAGAGGGACCCTTGGGCCGTTACCTGGTTAACATTTGCACATTGCTGCAGGAATTCATTAGCTTGAAAGGAACATGATTATAGCAGTCACACTTGAAAACAGAAGGTGGGACATTAATTATTAACAAAAGATCACGGAAAAGATAGAGCACAGAATTATTAGCGGAGCTGTTGGGACTGTGAGGACAGAATAGAGTTCATGCGCCATCTGAGGAGCATAAAAGGCACTGTTCCTGCCCTCGCTGGTTTGGCTCAGCGGATAGAGCGGCAGCCTGTGGACTGAAGGGTCCCAGGTTCAATTCCGGTCAAGGGCATGCACCTCGGTTGCAAACTCCAACCCCAGCTGGCGTGGGCTCATGCGAGAGGCAACCAATCAATGTGTCTCTCTCACATCAGTGTTGCTCTGTCTGTCTCTCCCCCTCCTTTCCACTCTCTCCAAAAATCAATGGAAAACAGGGTGATCATTAACAACACCCCTACAAGAGCGCAGTGGAAAGAACGACCTGCTACGCTCATTCAGTTATGACCCTCATACTTACTTAGATGTATTGAGCCATTCCAAAATCCAGGAGGTGGCAGATTCACGCTTGGTCAAGGCACCAGCATTTACTTGCAATCCAATAAATTCAACCAATCTTTGTTAAACACCCATGGTGGGTAAAGGTCAAAGCTACACTCTTGGGGTTCTGGTGAGGAGCAGGATGCAGGGCTGCCCTTAGTACTACAATCATTCATTGGGGAGAACCAAGATAATACTCAAATCCCCAGACTGCAAGAATGGATATCTCTGAAGACTTGGGCAGCTACTAGAAGAGAAGAGACAATATTGGAAGAGCCTATTGGAGGTCAGGAGCAAAATTAACATTTCCTGAGCACCTTCCATGTGCCAAGTACTGTGCCAAGAGCTCAGTGTTATCTAATTGAATTCTTGTAGCACAGCAAATCTATGAGATGGGTTATTATGCCCATTTCACAGATCAGCAAACTGAGGCTTGGTGGGCTAACTTACCCAAAGTCACACTGGTAAGTGGCAGAGCCAGATTTATACCTGGGGGCCCCCAGCTGCAAAATAAGAAGAAAGAAAACCCATTCATACCTGCCTCCTCCTACCCCTTCTGTCATCCTTCTCTCTCCTGGGACACACCTCACCCCTCATCTGTGTTACACCGTCCTATCTCTGGAGAGCTGGGGCAGAAAATTGAGTTCCTGGTTCTAAGGATGACATCAAGGTTTCTCTGTAGCATTTATGACCCTCTTGTGTTTTCCATTTTCAAAATGGATATAGTCTAGGGCAGTGGTTGGCAAACTCATTAGTCAACAGAGCCAAATATCAACAGTACAATGATTGAAATTTCTTTTGAGAGCCAAATTTTTTCAACTTAAACTATATATGTAGGTACATTGTTATTAACTTAATTAGGGTACTCCTAAGGCTTAGGAAGAGCCACACTCAAGAGGCCAAAGAGCCTCATGTGGCTCACGAGCCGCAGTTTGCTGACCACGGGTCTAGGGTATGCCCTGAATGCCAAGTTCAATGGTAATAACAGAATTTCTACAGGAGAAGCTCTGGGAGCAATCTGGTTGGAGGGGAGATGGGAGGGACTAAGAGAATTTTCTTGAAACCTTTTATAAGAGTGCTGTGACTTCTCATGGAACTAGGATTGATCACCAAAAAATTGACATAATAGCTAATAGGTAATTAATAAAAAATACACACTTAGCTCACAAATTAAATTAATAAAAATGTATACTTAGTACATAAAAAAGCAAAGTTAAGTGAGTTAAAGAGAAGAGCAGGAGCTGAGGAGTTTTTCTTTTTAACTTTATTTTTTTTACATTTCTTACCATCCATCAATTATTCCCTAGCAAGGCGGTACCGCGTGGTGGTGGAATGTTGGCTCCAAAAGTCAGACCATATGCGTTTGAATTCTGGCTCCATCGTTTACTGGGTCAGATTGGGGAAGTTACTTAATGTCCTCCCACCTTGTTTTTCTATCTATAAAATGAGGATACTCACAGTACCTTCCCCACAGTGCTGTTGTATTAAATAGTACTTGCACAGCATTTAGCATGAACATTCTCTATAAATGTTACTTAGTATTCCCTATTGTGCCATCAGCCTGAGGTTTTACAACACATGCTTTATAGATTGTTTTCCCTTGATTAGTTCTTGTTTGGAATGACCTTGGAGGCGATGGCTGTTGGAGATTAGGAGAAGCTGAAGCTACTCCTCCAAACCACCTTCTCGGTACTTTGACCAACTTTAAGTAGGTTTTACAGAGAAAAGATATCATTAGCAAATAGCAAAGCATCAATAGCAGATTTAAAAAAACACTTAAAGTAATCATTATTCTTCTGAGCCTCAGAAATTGAAATAAAATTAAAAATAGATGATGTGCCTGACCGGCTGGCTCAGTGGTTGAGCATCAACCTATGAACCAGGAGCTCACGGCTCAATTCCCAGTCAGGGCACATGCCCGGCTTGTGGCTCAGTCCCCAGTGTGGGGCGTGCAGGAGGCAGCCCATCAACGACTCTCTCTCATCATGAATGTTTCTGTCTCTCTCTCCCTCTTCCTTCCTCTCTGAAATCAATAAAAATATATTTTAAAAAAAGAAGAAAAAAAGATGATGTGATAGCATTGAACTTAAGGAAAAAGCTGAGAAATAAGCACTGAATCAACATAAACTTTAAATGCATTAAAGAAAGTATGGACTTTCTCATCAAATTTGCATGGGGAGAAACGGACATGGGAAAGCCTTCAGCTTTGCTTTGGACATCATCATACAACACCACAGTATTCTCTTTGCCATCAGCTGCTCTCCCAACACCCCCTTTTCTATCGCAATTGCAAGAGGCCGGCAGAAGCATCTGAAGAGCTAGGAGAGGGAGAGATCAGCCCTCCTGCAATCTGCTCACGTGGAAGCATTTCCCCGCGGCTCTGCGTTTACAGAATCTTATTTGCGTAGAAGTACTGCAGGAGCTCGGGATGGTAGAGGCTCTGAAAGAAATCAGCAGAGGTCCCCGTGAGGGAGGGCGTTACCAAACCTCCCCACTACAGAATGAACAGGCCGTGTCCAGTGCAGACCACGGGCACAAGCGACCTGCAGATTCCCGAGGCATCATTGCCCGTGTCCATCAAATGACCTGGACGGGAACTGCCAATAGAGCTTGTGTATTATCTTCCAGGCGTTTTGTCACTTACATTGCATTATGGGTCAATTACAATCGAAATGTGAGCGCTTGATCAGGGGCAAACTCCTGGTGTGCCCGGCCACCTTCTGCATTAACACGGGCAGCAGGGACCTGTGGGAGGTTTCTCTCCTGCCCCCACCCCACCCTCACTCACCAGCTGCCTACAGAGCTTGGGGTTCCTTTGATCGTCCTCACTCTGGAAGCTGCGCTCCTTCCTTTGCCTCAGGTAGGGAGAACAGGCTCGGAATGTGGTTTTGCAAGCCTGAGAAAGAGAAGATTCCCGTCTCATGGCCCAAAATATTAGGGAAATTCTTTTTATCTTTTCAATCCCAGTGTACATTCAATGTTATTTTGTATTGGTTTCAGGTCTACAGCATCGTAGTTAGACAATCTTACACTTTACTAGAGAATTCTATAATCCCGACCAAGGAAGAGGATGGCACCCAGTCGGGCCTGGGGTCCCTGAGAGTGTGAAAGTGACTTCCAGGAAGTTTGAAACCTTGAACCTTAAAGGATTTATGCTTATAAAACGACCATGTCTATCATTTGGGGCTGGTGGGAAGGGCATAGCTTTGTAGGTTACCACAGCCTTTGTTATTGTCCCATCAAAAGTGGCACTGGATTCCTAAATTTAACCCACCTAATATTTCTCCCCCCGCCCCCTCCCCCGCCTCTCTCTCGGAAGAAAAGTGGTTTTGTGGGACCCTTTGCTCCCGGTGGTTTTGACAAACTCGCCCTGTCCCACTCCAGAGCATCCCCACGGCTGATCCAATGCTGTTGGGACACATTTTCTCCAAGAATGAAACACAAGTTCCACAGGGAATTGAGAAGCCAGAGGTAGGAAGTCTATATTAGGTGCAGTGACAAAAGCTAACAGGCATGAATAAATGTCTCATTATGGGGACTGCCCGTGGCTTAAACCTGAGCTTCTCTGCCCCACCCTGCATTAACCTGAACTCATCTCACACTGCCGGGTGCTGGGAGTGGGCAGTGGGGCAGGAGCACATGGGAAAGGACACTTGCTCAGAGCGAGGTTACACGTGGAGGAGACACTTTTCCCAGGATTCACGTGGAAGGGCTGCTAAGCGTTTGTAACTGAACTGGCAGGAGCTGAGAGTCTGGCGCGTCAGGACTCCCTGTAGGAAAGGCAGGGAGATCTTTTGCGGTCGATGGGAGAGTCACGAACTTACCTTGGCAACCTGGGGATTTCTGTCCTGTAAATGGATCAGGAGGGAATCTTGAGTCTGCTTAACTTGATTGGTGAAAAATTTCTTCCATTTCCGCCCAGCAAAGGCAGGCAATTGCCCAAACAAGACAAAGGCCGAGTATCTCAGGCTGTCATTCTCCTGCGGGTTCCCCATGAGCAAAACAACAAAACCCAGGTCAGTGGGAAAAGTCAACTGCATCCGAGAAAACCACAGCATATTAGAGGGGTCCGTTAGATCCAGGCCAAAGCACTGGTCGGCTGGGGTGGGATGAGGTAGGAAGGGCCTGAATGAACCTCTTCACCAGCAGACAAGAAAGAGGACTGGACTTGGGGATCACTAGTGCTACTCTCAGCTTCCCAACTTTTTTTTTTCATTACTTATTGATTTAAAGATAAAATACATTTACATGGTTCAAAATTTTTAAAAAAGGTTTATTTTAAAAAAGTAGGTCTCACCCTAGCCTGGTGGTTCAGTTGGTTGGAGCATCCTCCCATACGCCAAAAGGTTGCAGGTTGGATTCTCAGTTAGGGCTCAGACCTAGGTTATAGGCTTGATCCCCGGTCAGGACACTTATGGGAGGCAACTGATCAATGTTTCTCTCACACATTGATGTATCTCTCTCTCTCTCTTCCTTCCTCTCTCTCTAAATATCAATTTTTTAAATGGGCAGAGGACCTGAACAGACACGTCTCCCAAGAAAATATACAAATGGCCAACAGATAAATGAAACTAGTGGCCCAGTGCATGAATTTGTACACATTGAAAGGAAATTAATTAGAAGAAATATTTTCATATCACTATTTGCCCTTTCTCTATAATAGAAGTGTCAACCAAATTTACAATCGACAATGACAGATGGAAACACACGTGTGCAATTGGCACCAGCGAGAGCTTTATATATATATATATATATAAACTTGCTTAATTAGACCTGCTTTCTGATTTAGCTAAACTTTTTCCAGCCCAGTGAAGCACCCCAACTTCTCTTTCAGGTAATTGTCAGCAACACAGCAGTAAATATTAACACGAAGCAGATTATTATTGGAGATCATCCAGGGAGAACAAAAGGTAAAATATTTAACCGCAGCAGTGTTTGACTATATTCTGCGCAGTGAGAAAACCTGAAGTCATTTTCAAGTTCCACCATTTCTTACTTCTTTTCAGTCGGGTCAAGTTTCTAAGCTTTCTCAATCTCTGTTTTCCAACTAATGAAAAGAAAATAGGATTCCACCAAGTCTCCTCTCTACCTACTCCAGGACTTCTGTGAAGATCAAATGAGATGAGGCACGGGAAAATGCTTCACAGACATTTGGTTAAAGTCGTGTTCCTGGGCTGAAGAAACTGCAAGGAGGCTAGTCGCTAGGGAGAGGAAGCAGGCGTTGCTACGTGATGTCATTACCCGGCGCCCACAGCCACCGTTTCTGGGCTGGGCTGGGTTGTGGGCCACATTTTTCGCCATGGGGTCTCAGCAGTGTTGGCTGTGATTTGGTGGGGTGTCTCTCCACGGTGGTAGCGGGGCCTGTGTCCCACTTTGGGGAAGCCAAGTGTTGCTTTGTCGGCGCCAGGTCCGCGGTGCCATTTCTCTGTAAATGGCCAGTGCACATCACAGCAGCTCCTGTGTTGAGTGTCTGCTCCCTGGTGGTCAGTGTGCATCATAGCGACCGGTCAGACGGTCGGACACTTACCATATTAACCTTTTATATAGAGAGATGATGCTTAACTCTACTAGCTATTAGGGAAATGCAGGTCAAAACTACAATGAGATACCACCTCACAACTGTTAGAATGGCTATTATCAACAAGACAAGTAATAACAAGTGTTGGGGAGGTTGTGGAGAAAAGGGAACCCTCATTCACTATTGGTGGGTATGTACAGTGGTACAGCTACTATGGAAAACAGTATGGAGTTTCCTCAAAAAAGTTAAGAATAGAGTTGCCATATGACCCAGTAATCCCTCTTCTGAATATCTACCTGAAAAAAATTGAAAACATTTATTCCCAAAGATATATACATCCTTAAGTTCATTGTAGCATTATTCATGGTGGCCAAGATATGGAAACAACCAGTGTCCTTTGGCAGATGATTGGATAGAGAAGATAGGTACATATATACAATGGAATACTACTCAGCCATAAGAAAGGATGAAACACTGCCATTTGTGACAACATGGATGGACCTTGAGAATATTATGCAAAGTGAAATAAGTCAGTCAGGAAAAACTAAAAACCACATGATTTCACTCATATGTGGGATATATAACTGAAACGCATAGACACAGACAACAGTTTGGTGGTGACTAGAGGGAAGGGGGGTGAGGGGTAATAAAGGGTAAAGGGAGACAAACATAGGGTGACAGAAGATGATTTGACTTTGGGTGGTGAGCACACAATGCAATATACAGAAATGTACTCTTGAAACCTATGTAATCTTGTTAAGCAATGTCACCGCAATAAATTTAATTTTTTAAAAAGATTTGTTAGTAAATAAGTGAATAATAGAGATCTTGTTCCCTGAGCAATACCCAGGCCTCACATTTCCAGCCCCAATTTGGTTTTCATAACCTGTAATTTTTCTGAGTCATCTCACTTACATCATCTAGTAGAGTCCTGGTCTGAAGAGTGATGTCTATGAAGAAGGAGCCCAAACCTTTCCCTTGGATCTTGCCCAGGATGATGGTCAGAGTCTTCAGACTCTCGTGGATGACTTCCGAACTCATGGGATCATACAATCCATGCACCAGCAGGTCTAGGACAACTTTCTTATACTTTCTCACCTGTTATCAAGGTTTAAATAGCATTAGTAGCACAGGAATTGCTCCCCGTGAGTTGTAAAGCAACTCCACTTCTAATTGTACAATAATCTAGGACTATCTTCAGGATCTACCACAACAACTCTCATCAAAATACAAATGCTTCAAAAATAAATAAATAAATAACAAATGCTTCCATTCACCTGACCCAAGAGCCCAAGTCAGTCTTAGAAGAAGATCACAGAGTGATCTGGAGCGTGGCCCATGGGTGGATGAGGTTAGGCAGGGCGTGCCAAGGAGGGGGTTGGACTGGATAATCTAGGTTTCTGAGGCATACTGGGGACAAGATGAAATGGTCACTGAAGTTGACAGATGCTAAACGAAGAGATGCTAAACAAGAACAAATTATTAGAAAATAATTTGAATTTACCAAAGTGGTGATGTCCAGCTGTGTGTTGATCCTGCCTGCAACTCTTTCCCAAGGCTGAGAATACTGAGGTGTGCTGACCCCAAATGAGTATGTCCTTGTTCGATCTCCTTCCCCTGAGTGTGGGAGGAACTGGTGACTTGCTTCTAGCCTCTTATTGAATACTAGAGGCCTGGTGCATGAAATTCATGCAAGGGGCTCGGCCCTCACAGTCCCGGCTGCCTCATGGCCCTGCCCCCCGCCCACTGGTCATTCCAGAAGGTCATTCCAGAAGACTGTTCCAGAAGGTCGTTCTGCCATCTGGTCTAATTAGCATATTAGCTCTTTATTATATAGGACTAGAGGCCCAGTGCACAAAATTTGTGCATGGGGGGTCCCTCAGCCCGGCCTGCACCCTCTCCAATCCGGGACCCCTCAGGGGATGTCCTCCTGCGGGATCGGTCCTAAACCGGCAGTTGGACATCCCTCTCGCAATCTGGGACCACTGGCTCCTAACCGCTCACCTGCCTCCCTACCTGATCACCCCTAACGACCTCTGCCTGATGACCTGATCACCCCTAACTACCCTCCCCTGCTGACCTGATCGCCCCTAACTGCCTCTGCCTCGGCCCCTGCCACCGTGGCTTTGTCTGGAAGGATGTCCAGAAGATGTCTGGTCTAATTAACATATTACCCTTTTATTAGTATAGATGATAACACTCATGGGATGTCATTCCCATGGTTACTTACATTACATAAGACTCCTTCTTAGCAGAGACTTTGCTGACCTTGAAGAAGTAAGCTACCATGTTATGAGTGGGCGCCTCTAGGAGCTAAGGGTGGCCCCCAACTGACAGCCAGCAAAGAAGCAGGGACCTTTGTCCTACAACTAGAAGGAAGTGAATTCTCCCAATGGCCCTATAAGCTAGGAAGAGGACTCCCTGCTTCAGAAAGGAATGTAATCTGGCCCACACGTTGATTGCAGCCTTGCAAGAGCCTGGACAGAGGACCCAGCTAAGCTGTACCTGGACTCCTGACCAAGGAAACGGCAAGCTAATAAATGCTAGGTCTGTGGTGACCTGTTACACAGCAATAGTAACTAGTGCCTGAGGGACCATAGCCCAGTCCTGGGGACTCCAGGCCACCTTCCCTTCCTACCTTGTCGGGGTTTTCACAGGCCATGGTTCCCAGGCCTCTCACTGCCATGTGACGCTTTTTAGCACTGGGGTCCCGGGCTCTTTCTGCCAAGATGTAAAGCACATTCTTCAAATGCTCCCTCTTCTGGAACCTCAGTTTCCAAGAGACCTGGGTAGTGAGTCAGAATGTATCGATTTGGGAGTGTTCAGAGTCATACCCAACCCCAACCCCAATCCCTTCCTCTAGAGAAAATCCTGTGTTGCCAGCTCAATTTTACACATTCTTTCTCCATCTGAAGACACCTGACTTTTTTGCTGGAAATACAGGTGGGAGCAAAGTAAGTTTATAGTTGTTTGTATGGAAAATAATAACAATAATGAATAAATAACAATACAAGAATGAACTCTGGGTTTCGTATACTCACAACTATACTAAACCTACTCTTGCCCCACCCTCTATATTTATAGTTTGATCTACATAATGAAGAAATTGATGGGGGGGGGGGGAAAAAAAAAATAATGCAGCCCAGCTGGTGTGGCTCAGTGGTTGAGTGTTGACCTATGAACCAGGAGGTCATGGTTCAATTCCTGGTCAGGGCACATGCCCGGGTACAGGCTAGATTCCCAGTAGGGGGCGTGCAGGAGGCAACTGATCAATGATTCTCTCATCATTGATTTTTATATCTCTCTCTACCTCTCCCTTCCTCTCTGAAATCAATAAAAATATATTTTTAAAAAATGCAGACCTGGTGTTGATGATGGTTTGGGGGAACTAAGAACAGAGGTGTTCTAGGCCAGAGGAGGGCTTGATAGAACTGAAAAGAAAAGGGGATGGGGAAGAGTTGGTGTGAGCTGAGAGTAGGGAGCCCTTTGGCAGGACTAGGTTCTCTGTATTCCTCCCATCTCAGAAAAAAGAGCTTCCTGGAAGCTTCTGCCTCCTCCGCCATTTTTTCTGCTCTACTTTATAGCTAAACACCTTGAAAGTCATGCCTATACTTGCTTTCTCCACTTCCTCTCCATTCTCCCTTGAAGCTTCTGCAGTCAGGTTGATGGACTCCCTTCCCCAGGCCGCAATATGGCTAAATCCAAGGGTCAGTGTTCAGTACTCATGTTACTCAACTTCCCAACAGCCTTTGATGCAAGAGCAACGCACATCTACAAATGTTTCAGGGCACCTGCAGGATGTCCCACCCCAGAATGCACACATCTGAGCAACTTACAATTAGGAAAATAAGTGCAGAGAAATGAAAAATTGGGCAATGCTTTGTGGCCAATGCAGAAACCTGTACTTCAAGGACTGAACTTGAAGTGACTGCGGATCAAGAGATGGGTTACCTCTGCAGTGAGCCTCTGAGCCCTGAGACCAGGAAGGCCCTGGGTTCTGCACAACACAGGACATGGCAACACGTCCTGGAGTCAGAACCAAGACGATGCAAGATGCATATGAGACCAAGAAAAAGCCACCTCTTCACCATCCTTAGCAATGGGCTGCGGTGGGGAGCTGGACACGGGATCGGCAGCCTTATTTGGGTGATTACCACGTCTCGTCATTATCTCTGGATATTCATTTTTCAGTCTATATTTTTATTATTAATTTCACAGCAAGCTATATTCATCTCAACTCATCTTGTGACTCTATAAACATTCTCTCTGTGTTTAAAGAACTATCATCAGACATTTTTTCAGAAGAAGGAACCTCAGTGGAGCCAGCTGGACTAGTGCAGACCAGGCCAGCACACAGGTTACACAGTGGCTGCTGGGAGGGACATTTGTTCACAATATTTTGTGTCAGACCTTGGAAAAGAAAGACATCATTGGAGTCCCTTTCTTCTTGGGCAATGCGGTGGGCATAGAAAGGGGCTGGCCCAGGATTCTTCTCTGTGTTTGGTCCATGGAGCTAAAAAAAAAAAAAATCATTATTATATGAGCCACTAACATTCTTCAAAGCCTTATCATTAACAAGCATCATCATACATAGTGTTGTATCGGGTAAGAATATGAGGAAGCAATATCCCTGAGGCCCGTCCTTAGGAACCTATCACCTTGTTGAGGAGATTAAACAGTCACATAAAATGATAAAGAGCAATCTGAGGCAGCTCAAGGGGAATCACAGTACAGGGTTCAAGACGGTCTGCCCTGGTTCCCGGCCCATCCCACAGCCTTATAGTATCAGAATCACCAAAGAAATAAAATACAGATTCTGGGCCCCACCCATGGAGTTGAAGTGAAAAGTAGCCTGAAAAATTCTTTAAGGCTCCCCAAGAATGTAAATTGGTTCTGCTTTTTAGGGGAGATTTTAATATCTCTTACAATGTTTAAACTGTACCTATCTTTCTGCAAATCTTTCATCACTGACACATCATACACTCAGAGATATTCACAAAGGATAGGCAACGGAGCTTTGTAATGAACAACATACTATAATGTCCTTAATAGTACTAGAAAGAAATTACACATATATACTACAACTATACAACTATAGGATGGCTCCTATGCAGCCTTTAAAACAATATTGTGCAGTCTACGTGTGCTTAAGTGATCTTCAACATATACTGTTGAGTGAAAAGTGAAAATCAGTGTGTAAGTGGGCTAACATCTGTGTAATCACAAAATGAGGGAGGAAACCAATATGGACATGTATGCTTGCATATGCATAGAGCAGGGGAGAATATCCAAGAGACTTGAACAAAAATTGCATCCAGGTAGAAATCTGAGCAACTGAGGTAGGAGGGAGACTCACTTTTTTCACTACTTTAAAAAAAAAATATATATATATATATATATAGTTTGTCATTT